GGTTTTGCTCACGGCCAAATATTTACAGTAATAATCCTTCCTCCATGATTTACAGTTATAGTGTGTGTACATACAATCCATGTACAATCGTGGTTTTGATGTTTGCTTTTACCATAGTTGCTTACCGAAATAATGGATATCGCGCCACTACCCTCTTTGAATGATGAATTTAATGTAAGTACAACATTTTTGTACCTTGTTTCTCTAAGACGAAAATTAAGCCTTTCAAGTAAAAGTTCATATTTGTTTTCTTTTGTATAACTACTAATTAAATATTTTTGCTGAGAAAATTGGTACCTACATGTATGTTCATAAACATAAAGTACAAACAAACTGCTAGGATTTTTGTGTAATTAAATCTTTATTTTTCAGTCAGTTTTTCCACCTGGTTGGGGAACAACAATTATTGGTAAAAAAATAGTAGAGGGTGAAGATAAGTTCCCGAATGTAGAATTGCATTTTTTCATCAATTGCACCAATGAAGAGGAGTTTGGAAAGTGGTTGATGGAGTTTGAAAATTCAACAAGTTCATCATACGTTATCGCCTGTACAGACGTTGAGAATGGAGCTAAATTGAAACTGAAAAGAAGACTAAGGTAATAAAGGTTTTATTATTAATAAAACCTTTGGAAAACACAGATTTTACAGGTTACAAAAATTAGGTAGTAAATTAATGTAATAAATATCACATTTGTTTATGCTCTTATTTATAATGTAGGTTATATTATTTGTTACATGTAGGTTTATTACAGTTTATTATTATGTTACCTGGAAAATTTAATTTTAGGTGTCATCATTCTACACGGTGCACTAAAACCTACAACCCGTCCTTAAAAAACAAAACTAGAAACACCAATTGTCCTTCGAAAATAACTGTAAAGATACATGTTATTAGAAAAAAGTATAGGGGCAAGAAAGAAAATTTCCAACTCTTACAAGAGGCGCCTTGTGAGGTTAAACTTATTTTAACACACAACCATATGACCAATACTGCAGATTCTTTACGGTTTCGTAAAGTTTCTAAGAATGTAAGAGAAGAGTTACTAAGTCTTTATAAGAATGGCCATACAGCAGGAACAGCTTTGGAGATGATTAAATGTAACATTCAGCTTACCAGGGATGATTATGTGACAGCTTTGGCAGACCGTAATATATGTCCAACCTATAAATACTGTTATGATCTATATATGAAAGAGTTTAAAGAAAATTATGGACCTATGAAATTTGATACAGAGGCGAAAATGTTTTTAGAAAATAATCTTACACTGTACAATGCTGAAAAAAGAGAAACAATAACAAACATTCTAGAAATGTTTATGGTATGTTATAAACTTAATTAAATGGGTTTGGTTCGGTTTTGGTATTTTATTTGGTGGTTATAATATGTATTTTTTTATTTATCGTTTGTATGTTTAGAAATAATTTAACTTGACAGCAGATATTGTTGAAATTGTATTAGTTCAATTTAATGAACTAGGTATACTATAATGTAAACCTTCCTATTTAGATTTGTAAAATATACCACTAATTAATTATTTTTTGTGTCCCAATTCAATTTATAAATTGGCAACACAAATAATTGAAATTAAATTTGTATAGATTTCTTTAAGGATGTGCACAACTTTATTTTCTAAAGCTTTTGTTAAATTATTTCATTGACTAGAATTATAATCATTTTTAGGAAGTGGCCAAAATCGAAGAGGACGAAAAATTCCTATACAAAGTACTGCTGTAGCTAGAAGAAAAATTAAGAAAAAATCATCAAGACAACTAAAACGATTACGTAATAATACATATGATACAAGTAGATGCGTAATGCCTACTAAATAAAAAATGTTATTAGTTAAATAAACTATTTTTTTAAATTAAACTGCTTATTTTTAAAATTCCTAATGAAATATTTAAATTTAAAAACCGTTTAGGTAATGTAGCTGTAGCATAAAAAGTAATTATCGTAACTGAGGAGTTGGCGGGAAAAACGATCAAATTCGGTGTGGATGGTGCCATCTAAAGATTTTTGTATATAATATATGCCTGGTAAACAGTTGCTGCAAAACGACTAAGATCTCTATAATACACCTAACAGTTATTTATGCAACTAGTGCGAAAAGCACTCTTTTCACACTGTTACATACAATATTTTTCGTAAAATAAATGATAGTAAAATTCTAAAACAAAAGTATTTTCCTTTACACCTTGTAGAAATACCGGCAGTTTTGTTGGAAATTTCCTGTCATAACCGCATCGAATTTTTGTTTTTAATTGTTTGAATTGTCAAGATGATCATTTGTTGGTAATTTTTAGGTGAATTTGTTCGTTGAAAGCTTATTAAACGTAATCAAACGCTTTTAAAATCTGATTTTTATTTTTAGAAAAATGCCTTTAAAAGTGTAGTAATTATTCATCTAATTTAGTTATGTCAAATATTAGTAATTGTGTAATTAATATTTATAATAAATTTTGTGTATTATTTGCGCTTCCTATGAGACAACGCTCGGAAGTAAAAAAAAAAACGATTTTCTCAGTTTCAGCATAGGCACACCTTCATCGTTTTCCTCGCCACCTCCCCAGTTACTTTCAAAACGAGCGCGCTTTTATGCCCCGCCTATAATTTGGCGTTCGCGCGCTGTTATTGGCTCTTCCACGTCTCATAGCGGAACTGTGGGCTCGATGTAGTATTGCGTCTTCCGCGCACCACACGTAGCTCTCGCGCACATATCCTCGCGTCACTCTTACATAGGCGCGCGTTTGGGACGAACCACTGCAATACCCTGTATGTTATACCACCAATTAATTAATACAGTGAATTCTATTGAAAAAATTAAAAAAATCGTAACCTCGCGTTTTGACACACCCTATATATAACATAGCAAATGAATGAAGTCAATTAAAATTATTTGACGACCTGAAAACAATCAAATATGTATAACTACCTGCAGGGTGTTTTGCTTTAAAAATGTACAGGTTTGGTCAACACCTCGTTTATGGACCACCCTGTATATTTAAGAATAATTTTTAAATGTGGTCATACAACTTTTATATTATTTTTTTTTATTTTTAATAATAAAACAGCTATCGATCAGTTACGCACTGATGGGACACTGTGTATATGTGTTATTCTCTAACATGTTGGTATTGTTGGATAGGCAAATTTATAAAGAATTGTATACTAAAATATTATACCGGGTGTTGCCTTTGAAAAAATTAAGTAAGTTGAACTTAAAAGTAGCCATATATGGCATATTTCAAAACACTCGGTATAAAAGAATCCAGCACTATCACCATTATTCGTTATCTCTATGTGCTATAAGTCTGTATATCAAACAATTTTGAAACCAATGTAATCCTACCTAAATTATTATAATTTAATTTGGGGTCTGCATCATTCTCTAATTTTATAAAAATGTAATTGCTTGGCAAACCTGTAATATTTTTTTAAAACATTCTAGGCTTGAATACAGTATTACCAAACCATTCTAAAACTGAAATACATGTTTTACTTAAAAAATATGCCAGGCAAAAATGTAACACCCTGTATATCCAAAAATATTTTTAAAATATGTATTTTCCAAATCCATATAACTTTTCTTTGAAACATGTTCGCGTGTCTTTAACACAAATTAATGGGACATACACATGAGTATATACACATAGCAGTCAACCTGTTAACTCGGAAATAAAGATAAAATAACAGTCAGAAGAAGAAAGCAAGTCCCGCAAATATTACGTGCGTACCATAAAGTGATGCCAGATCATTCGGTTCAAATTATATCGGAATGCAATAAAATTCCTTTCCTTTCCTGCATTTCACCCACTTTAAAATTAAATTCGTCAGAGAAAGAATTGTGAAATTATCGTATAAATCGATAATTATTGTACATCTGGCAACGTGGCCAATATTTGTTCATACGCAAGGAACATAAATCGATAATTTTGTATCTGGAACGAAGCGAGGCAAATATATATGAACATCACGAAACAATCATTCACCTATTAAAACCATCTCTAAAACAGAGTGGCTACATTGTTTTTATAGTGACACCTTCTTAAAAATAGATGAACTACACAATTACAGGTATTCATAGAATATCTCTAATTTGACAAATAAATTTATCAAATATTTGTTAATCGTATTTCCAGTTAGATTTGAAAAGTACTCAATAAAATTTAGAAATACTTTGGCGGATACTTGGAAAAATATGTAGAATGAAATCTTCTATTTTTTATTTGTCCTGTTGATACACTGAATTTAAAAAAAAATTATAAAAAGTTATTTCAAAAACCAGAGCTCCAAACCTTATACCTTAAGCTGGTAAAAGATTCATTTTAATACATTTAGCGGGATTTAAATGCAATCGGAAATGGTGAACCCTTGCTTCTTATATGAAAAATACAGTGATACTGCGGCCTTAAGGAACCGCTGGCCAACGACAGTCTTCTTAATAGATACTGTCGTCTAAGAAGGTATATGAGTTGTCATTAATCTAGCAAAAGAAGCAACACTGCAGGTTCTGCAAAGAGGAAACATCAATACACATCCTGTGCCAGTATGCGGTTTCTAACACTAGGCGAAGATAACCCAAAAGCATGTAACTACATGCGGAAGCCACTGTTAAAATGATCAAGCTAGATGACATACTCTAAATAACGAGTCCCACAATAGATCTGTAAAGGTTAACTCGGACAAGGACAAATGTCCAACTCCTGTAGTATCCAATCTAATAGGTTTCAAATACACAGTAGAAAATAAAAAAAATACCTAAAAATTAAATAATTGAAGCAGCCTTTGTATGTATATAAATAACCGTTTATTATAAATTACATAATTATTGAAACAAAAGTATGCCATCTACAATTTTTTAGCCATACTAACTGACAGTTAACAACTAGTAATTATACTAAATAAATTATAGTCCAGGATCCGTAAGTAAGGTCGACCTTCACCCATCTGTTTAATGGATAAAAGTTTTTTTTTATTAAATCAAATATATTTTTAAATATACCGCAAATGGGTTGCCTAAGAAAATACGGTCATGGCCATTTTTTACTTTTCTTTCTGTGTACAGATAAGGAAAGTATGCGAATCATGATAAAAGTTGCTTGTGATGTCATTCTCTATTATTTTGTTCCTATACATGATTTCCCTAAAATGGACCTAATTTGAGATATTTGAGAAAAAGTGCAAATTTCTAATTTTGAAGATAACTCAAAAACGGATGAAGAGAAAAACACCAAATTTTAAACTTAAGCTTTAATCCATCCTGCGGTGAGCTGATTTAAGTTTGGGCAAAGTAGAAGCATCTTGGGAATAGTTTACAGGGTGTCGTTTTTTTTTACTTTAAGGAAATCTGGACCGTATTTTCTTAGACAACCCATTTGCGGTATATTTATAAACATATTTTATTTAATAAAAATAAACTTTCATCCATTAAACAGATGGGTGAAGGTCGACCTTACTTCGGATCTTAGACTATTAGTATACTTCTTTACCAGATATCAAGCATCAATTAATACTAATTGTTTAATTAATCCTAATTCAGATTAATAAATATATTTATATAAAGGAAATATTTGACAGTTATAAAAAAAATAATATATTCATTGTAATAATATATACATTATTTACCCAATTAACTTCTCTGTCTATCCTTACTTCTATGCCGTTTTTCATCTTTGGCTCTTGCTTTTCCATCTTTAACTCGTACCCGTTCTCTGGACCTTGACCTGTGCTTTGAGGATTTTTCAAATGCTTTTTTGTCACTCTTCAACTGATTTATATTATCCTCATATCTACTTTTAACCCATTCATAGTCTTTGTTTTTTCTTTCCGTTTTATCTCCATCCCTTTTCCTTTTATCTTTGTCCACTTCATAATATTTTTTTGTTTTTTCTCTATTTTCATTGTAATCTTTCCTTCTGTCTTCTTTATTACTACGATCTGCTTTTGAAGGATTTTTATCTTTCTCATTTTCTTTTTCAGAATATCTTTGTTTTTCCTTATTTCTGTATTTTTCTTTGTCCTCTCTGTATCCCCCTCCATTAATTCTTTCAGTTCTTTGTGATTTTGAAGATTCTAGAGATTTAACATTAGTATCACGCATTTTCTTTTTCTTCGCCTTTTCATCCTCTTCCTCTGAACTGGATTCTAAAAAATAATATTAAAAGTGGAGAGAAGTGAGTTAAATGTATATTAAAAACTGCATAGACTCCGTTTCACGTGAGAAGAACACAGCTGAAGTTGCAACAATGACAGTCGCAGAAACCAAATTATGTCTTGTTTACCTAGGTCGCTTCGTAACGACAGGGTCACGTCCCTGGCGTACAACGAATATTTTTATGCCAATAGCCATTTATTTATTAGCGTTAGCGACGTTAGCGTTTGACATTTAAGGTTATTTTTTTGGAATCGCCTATTTGTTAAATATTTTTGATTTTTGATTTTCGATTATTTTAAGACGTTTGAAAGTGAAAGTCGTGTGTTTTATTTAATCTAAAACCATGCCTCCTAAAAAGCTTGTTGGTTTAAAAGGAAAAATTATCCACATTCAAGGTCGGCATATTATAAAAAATGTCGCATCTTTTATGCAATCCGAAGCTGAAGATGGAATTATAATAATAATAATAATAATAATAATAAATGGCCTTTATTTGTACATACCAAAAATACAAAAAATATGTAGAAATGTACATTTGCCTGGGCGAGATTTAGCCTAAGGCTATTCTTACATCTAACCCTATAAATTCTATACATAGTTTAAATAATAAATACATTTTTTACAATAAGCAAATTCTAGTAAAACATTTGAAAAGAAAAACAATTACCTAAGTGTGTTTATTCAAAAAGAACAAACGAGATAAAAAAAAAATTAAACAATTGCACTTAAACACTTTGGGAGACCAAGAGCTGTCGTTTTAATGTATTTTTAAAAACATTTAGAGATTTTGAATTTTTTAAAGATGTGTTCAGGTTGTTGTACAGAACAACGGCATTGTATGAAAAGCTGCGATTAAAAATTGCAGTAGAATGACGAGGCATGGTTAAAGTTAAATTATTTCTAATATTAACGTTGTGCATCAATGTTCTGAATATTAGTTTGTCTTTTAAATATGGTGGTATTGAAGTATTAATTATATTATATATTAGCGATAGGAACAGATATTTGAATAGGTTGTTAACATTTAACCATCCAGTTTGTGAAAAAGCCAATGAAATATGGTCGAACTTGCGAAGGCCATTGACGAACCTACAACACGTATTCTGCATTATTTGCAGTCGATTACGATTGACTGCTGTTAGACAAGGGTAATATATAATAATTCCGTAAAGAATTTTTGAAATTACTAAACTTTGACATAAGTTAGCTTTTATTGATTTATCTCTAAGAATGTATTTATTTGAGTAAAGTAATCGAAGTGCGCCGTAGCACTGTTGAAGAACATAGTTCAAATGTTTATCAAATCTCATAAATTCATCGAAATACAGCCCCAAATTTTTTGCAAAACATTCGATAGGAATCCTCTCCCCAGAAATACATAGGTTAACATTAGATTTTAAAATATCTTTGAATTTATTATTACAAAAAACTATGAGTTTAGATTTAGAGGCATTTATGTGCAAATTATGGTTTGTGGAGTATACAGTTATGTCATTAAGGTCTTGATTTATTAAGTTCACGGCATTGACGTAATCATTTGCGTTAAAATCACAGAATAATTGCGTGTCGTCAGCAAAGAATTGGACTGAACAGTTTTTGATGCATGTATATAGATCCGAGGTGTAAAGTAGAAATAACAGAGGACCCAACACCGAACCTTGGGGTACGCCGGACTTTATTGGAGTTGAGTTAGACTTCTGATCGTCAACAATAACCTTTTGAGAGCGATTGTGCAGGTATGTTTTTATGAATCCTAAAGATTTATCATCAAATCCGTAATATGAGCACTTGGCAGAAAGCAGTTTGTGAATTCAAATTTCTTTACAAAATCATCGGTAAGCAGAATAAAAAAGTATAATACCTATGTAATAATATTATTTAATATTCCTAACCAGATCAGTCAGAATTTACAAGTATTCTTTGGCGAATTTATATACTTTAGTAATAGACTAGATATTATGTCTTTGGACAAAAAAGATCGGTTGTTTCATTATGTTATTGTAGATTATAAATCGTGCCCTTATTGCAGATACCACCTAATTAGATATTTTGTCATAAACAGACGAAGTTTGGGTATACAATTTTATTTGTAAAACAAATATTGCTAAATTTTGTCAGTAGTTTGTAGCATTGAGATTTTTATAGTCTTTAGAAAAGTAGTATTCTAATTTAAAAATAATTGAATTCTACTAAAAACTAGGTATTCGACCTATATAATTTTACCTATATATTTGATTGTTTTTAGCCATAATTTAATTTCAAATGGGACATTGTATCAGTTAGTAACTAACTTGTTTAGGGACTAGGAGTATTTCCACAACCATACAATATAAATATTGCTGATTTTTAATGCCTATATTTTTAAATTGCAGAAAACGAACTCTAAAAGCAACTGGTGTGAGTAAAAGTACTTACGCCAGAATTGAAAGAGGAGCATCTACTTCGTTTGGATCTCCTCGAAAAAAGAGACCAAGGAAAAAATCAGTACTGGAAGCACTAAAACTTGGAGAACTGGAAAGGATTCGGGAGATCGTTTATAATTTTTACATCCTGGAGAAAAGGGCTCCTAGTTTAAAATGTAAGTTTGATAGAAATAAAATAGTTATTTTTGTATTAAGTGTCTGAAATCAGGTTTTTTGTATTGTACCATTGACAGATACTAAAAATCTTCAGTTCACTTTTAACCGTAAAACTTTTTTAGGCTCAAAAGAATTTTTATAGAAAAAAGTTTTTTATTAAGGAATATATATATTTTTCTAGGTATACTTCACAAACAACAAGCTGTTCTATCTGAATTTACAGAGAGTAAAACTTCTTTATGGAGGCTGCTAAAAATAATGGGGTTTAGGTAAGTAGTTTATGAAGTTTTAGTGTAATTTTAGTAGGCTTTTTAGAAGAAAAAAATAATATAGGACTAGAATAGACATTGTGACATTAAAAATATTAATAAGTAACATGCATAAGTATTTAATTAAAAATATTGCCTTAATTCTAGGTGGCAGCGCACACAAGATAACAGAAAGATGATATCCTATGATATTCTCCACAAAAGAATTACTTTTTAGAAAATGTTATTAAATATAGAAATGAAGGCTGGAATATTATATATACTAATGAAACATACATCCACAGCTCAAATTTGCAATCTAAGGAGTGGTATGATATATCAGGAAGAGGTTTGAAGAAGCAAATCTCAAAAGGAAGGAGACTTGTGATTGTACATGCAGGTGGAGAAAAAGGATTTATTCCTAATGCCTTATTAATATTTGGTTCAGGTATGTCTCCATATATATTGAAAAGTGTTATTTTTAACGTATCGATTTTCCCAAATATTTATAAACACTGTATATATCAAGTATAACATGTTTCAACTTAGTTTAGGGAAAAACGCTGTTTAATAGTAATGACTATAGTAATAAAAATGATTTAATTTGAATGTGTGGAAAAACAAATAACTTGACTCATTAGCGTCCATAAAAATGTTGTGCTAGAACGAAAAACATGTACTGATTTTTAGATAAATTTTTGAAAATTATACTATTGTTTTTTATGGTTTTTTCATTGGTTTTCAAACAATATATAATAAAAGATAATTCTAGCAGGCAAATTACACAATTTACAATGTCTTAATATGACATGTTGCACTGCTATTTTTATTATTTTTTTGTATTAAATTACATTCAAATAAAACTTTCAATCCTTCATGTGTACTAAATGTTTACTTATTATGTAATTTGTTAACAAAATAATAAATTTTTCTGTGGGTCTAGATTAAATTTGTTCTTTTTTTTAGCTTCTAAAAGTGGAGACTACCATGATGACATGAATCATTCAAACTTTATGAAGTGGGTTCAGGAACAACTATTGCCCAATATGCCTGAGAAATCAGTTCTGGTTGTAGATAATGCTTCTTACCACAACGTGAAAAGTGAAAAAGTATTACTTCAGCATCTAGGAAAGCAGAAATGTTAGAATGGCTTAGGGCCCACAAAGTTGAACATGATGCCAATAAGACAAAACCCGATTTGTATGAATTAATAAAAAAAATCGGTTCCTGTTTCCTATTAATTGGACTGTTTACTGAAAGAACATGTGCATAAAGTCTTACGGTTACCACCTTATCATCCAGAATTTAACCCAATAGAAAAAATCTGGGCACTGGTTAAGAACTGGGTGGCAGTGCACAATACCACATTTAAACTGGATGATGTGGAGAAATTAGCCAGGAAGACATTTTCTGAAGTTTCTGATCAAGAATGGTATTCTATTTGCGAACATGTAAAGAAATGCGAATATGAATGGATTAAAAAATACACATTCTTGATAATGCTGTAGATTCTCTTGTGTTTACTGTAAATACAGGATCGTCTGATGAATCTACTTCAGAGGATGATTGCAGCAGTGACAGCAGTAGGAGTATTATAGAATTGCTTAGTGACTCTAAAAGCTATTAATAATACAGGCCTACAAGAAATAATTTTTTCCAGCATACCTACCTAGATTCTAGGCAAACATATTTCAAATTTTGTGATATGGCTCAAATTGATGATTTTAAAATTGATATATCACTAAGGTCAATAAACAAAAATCTTTAATTTCTTCATAATATACTTTTCCAATAACTAGTAACTTACATCTAAAATTTCATCAATTTGTTTAACTATAAATGGGATTAAACAAGTTTGAATTTTTGAAGTAAGGGTAAAAAGTATAAAATTTTGTAAAATATTTCACACATGTGCAACTAGCAGTCAATTGAATAAGAAATACCACAAACATTTATTATCACTAAGCTATTTTGTATTCATTATTCTTACACTTATCGTTTGATTAACTACTATTGTCTACTGCAGATTTAGATGATTTTGCCAGTAATCTGAGTAAACCATTTAATAATTAATATGTTACCAATATTTTTCTAATTCTAAATTAAAATAAACAATTTTATAAGTTCCTATTTTGTGTTTTTTTTTACCTTTTTTTATTACCTAAACGGTATATTTAGGCCTTGAAGTAATAGGCTATTATGTCCTAAGAGTTCAATATCTCAGCTAGTCCATTTTTATCCAAAAAACATTTATAACCCAAGATTTTAAAGGAAATTTAATATACTTTTTATTGTATGAAGCAATGCCTGCACCTACCCCTACTCAGAAAGCAATTATAAGCAAAATAGTAAAAAAAATGAATTTTTTGCGTATTAAATTCTTTTTTTATATTTTTTATACATAAAATTTAAATAATTTGATGTGAAATAATCGTATTTACAAAAAAAAATTACTGCATGAATTTTGCTTCGCTACGCAAAAAAAATGGATCTTCTGCTATTTAATTATTTTTTCTTACAATTTTTCACTAAAAAAAATTTAAATAAATAATTCTAAATGAAATAGGATTTACAAAAAAGTTCGTATTAACTATACCTACATTTTGCTTCGATTCCGAGATATAATTAAAAAACTAAGGGTTGAATTTTCACCTCTATCTCCAATTTCCACCCGCTAATTCAATAGCATATTTATTGACCATTTGAATGATTTTTGCCATAAAAACCCACAAAAGTGATCATTTCTATCTATATTACATATTCAACAGAGTCTATAACAGTTTTGCAAATTACATTTTTTTTTATTTCCACCATTTTTATATTTATATTTTACCTGCACTGCTATCCCCGCTACTTTCTTCACCACTGGAACTACTTGAGCCACTGCTGTCTTCGCTTTCTTCTTTTCCTATTGCCATCTTCGCTTCCATTATTTTTGGAATATTTTTCAAATGTTCTCTAAGTTCATCCGTCAGGCCTCCCAAACCAATGGATGTAAAGAAGTTAATGGAAAATCTGGTGTTTTTAGGATTGTCTCTAGGAAACAAACCAGAAAAATGTTCTTGAAGAGTCCTAAAAATAAAAAAGCAATGTTTTATTTTGTTTAATTTTTATATATTTATTTAATAGTAATTTTTTTTTAAATTAGTACTAAAAAATATAATAGAATCAAATAATAATTAAATTGTAGCAGAAATAAAATTATTGAAAAAAAAATACTAATAATTCTTATTGTAGGAATATTAATTACAAATATAATAAAAAAATATTTAAGTTGCAGAAGAAAAAATTTTACCAAAAAAATAAATATTCCGACGAATTAAAAACCTCCTTCTTTTTTGAAGTCGGTTAAAAAAAAAACCTTTTTTACATTAAATTTCAAATTTAATAAAGTAAAAAGAAATAAAAATTAAACTAAATTAAAAGGATAAACATATAATAAAAAAAAATATCTCACAAAAATTAATTTCACTTCTTTTTTAAACCTTTAAATCAATATTATAGGACTTACTCATCTTTCAGTCTTGCGTTTAATTTTCCCAATCCCATATATTCAGCCAACTCTTGAAACAAGATTTTGATAAAAATCCTACTAGAACTATTGGTATCTTCTTCGTTTAATTTCATTATGTCAAGAACTTGCCAATTTATAGCATCCGTAAACAGCAAATGTGCAAAAAATTTGCTCACATTTCTCAACCTATTAGCATCTAATCTGTGTGTGGTTGCATATGTGTCTCTAAATATTTGTTGAAAGGGTTCAATGTATATTTTGTTGATTTGACAGAATCTTTGGGCTAACAGTCCATAGAATTTTTCGTATGTTCTTTGTTCTGCACAGCAATCTGAAAAAAAAAAAATGTTATTGATAAAATTACATTCATTAAATAATTATTTAAAATTTGATGAGAAGGATTTGGGTACAAACATTTTTAAATTTGGAGCAACATTAAACATTTTGGTTTCTCGAAAGTAAATCTATAATACTCTTCACAGGCTACTGCTCCAAATTTAAAAATGTTTGTACCCAAATCCTTCTCATCAAATTTTAAACAACATGTTTTTTGTCCACCCGAAAAGTCAAAAACGAAAAGTGATTTTGAAAAAAATATGGTTAAAAGTGGGGGATTAAGAGAGATTGAAATAAAAAAAATATTAATCAACGAAAATGTTAGTGCGGATGCTGAACTGGATCTTTTTAACTACAAAATCTTCAGACAAGATCGCACAACCGAGTCGAGTGCTTCCATTGTACTAAAGAAAATGTTTTCTAGTTGCCTTATTCCATATTATTCCGCAATTGAAAAATGATTTGTTTCCATTGCCGTGTCATCTGCGAGCCTCAAAATTTCCCCATTTGATCTAATCGAAAATAAATTATTTATATACAAATTGAATAGGAGCGGCCCTAAGATAGTGCCTTGGGGCACACCATATTTAATGGGTACAAAATTACTGTAGCTATTGGCTATCCTTACGGTTTGCATTCTTTCATTTAAATAGGTAGTAAATAAAGAACCCCGCACAAATCTTATGGAAATTGGCTCCCGGTTAAATTGGCTGAAATTTGGATATGTTGTTCGTTTCGGCATCCTAAGCAAAAGTCTCAATGGGTACAAAGTTCAATTTTGCTTATTTTGGCTCCTACGGAGCTCTAAAGCTCTACAGATTGACTATTATTTACTACTTAAAAAGGCAATCTACTCGAAAGTTTAGTATTTGCTGCGTTAAAAAAGAAGTGCCTTCTTATGTTTTCGGGGTCGCTGCATTCAAATCCAATTCCAATACAATAATATTGACAGTTGACAGCTGTCAAACAACAAGCAATAATCAAAATTGATAAAATCCACATGTAAATATCTGTTTTGACAAAATTCAGGAGTAAATAGATGTCTTCGAGGTTGGTGAGTTCCAAACTGATGTCAAAAAGACGATATTGACAGTTAACAGCTGTCAACTAACTGTCAAACAGCATGTGACAATCAAAATTGATAAAATCCATGTGTAAATATAGGTCTTCGAGGTTGCTGAGTTCACAATTGATGTCAAAAAGACGATATTGACAGTGATCAGCTGTCAACTAACTGTCAAACAGCATGTGACAATCAAAATTAATAAAATATAGTGCAAGCATTTGTAGATGTAAACAATCTTTTCGCTAGAAATATAAATAGATGGGTTCGAATGGATGCTGTCCATCTAATGGAATTCTCACAACTAACTCTGAAATATTTACAAGATTTGACCATTGGGGTATATCAAGTAAGGTTCTTAGGATATGCAAGGCACGAACCTAATATTCGTTATCCATCAACTAGTATCGTTATTACTATTCGAGATGCAAGAAACCGTCCACAATAACTAAACTGTAATATTACATTATATTTTCCTAAATGCATTGATAAAAATCTAAAAGACTCAAATCGGAGTTCGTGATAATTTCTTTAACTATTTCTAAAATAGGACGATATATATCGTCCTGTATTATAAATAGATTAATAAAAAATATCGTGAAATCATAGGTCCAATAAAACAATCGGCCCTTTTCAGGGCCTAGAATGTACAAAATCGATCGCGCGACCTCCACGTGGTGTACATCAGGTAACGCTAACGCCGACGATTAAAATAAATAATGTGGTGGTTTGATAGTTATTTGACAGCTGTCAATATCGAGTTTTTAATATCAGTTTTGAACTCAGCTGCTTCAAAAACATGTGAATTTCATTAATCTTGATTGTCACATCGAAGACATCTATTTACTCTTGAATTTTGTCAATTTTGATTGTCACATACTATTTGACAGTTAGTTAACAGCTGTCAACTGTCAATATCGAGTTGTTTACATCAATTTTGAACTTACCAACCTCAAAAACAGATATTTACATGTGTATTTTTTCAATTTTGATTATTGTTTGTTGTTTGACAGCTGTCAACTGTCAATATTATTATATTGGCATTGGATTTGAATGCAGCGACCCCGAAAACACAAGAACGTACTTCTTTTTAATGCAGCAAATTCTTAACTTTCGAGAAGATTGCCTTTTTAAGTAGTAAATAATGGTCAATCCATGGAGCTTTGGAGCTGCGTAGAAGCCAAAATAAGCAAAATTGAGCTTTGTGCCCATTAAGACTTTTGCTTAGGATGCCGAAACGAACATATCCAAATTTAAGAGATATTGGATGATAATTTATTACATTATTTGCATCACCTTTTTTAAAAATCGGTATTACGACAGTTTCTTCTAGACAGGATGGTCATTTACCATTCTCCATTAAACATAAAAAATATGTGATAAAGGCTCTTCAATATAGGGTGATACGATTTTTAAAATATCACTTTTAATTTATGAGATTTTGATAATATGTATATTTGCACTTTTTAATTAAATTTGTTATATTATTTCTTACATTTTTGTATTCACTTTTTAAATTTTCATTATTAGGATACCTTTTTACTTGTTTGTGTAGTTTATTTTTATTATGAATTGTTCTGACCAGTTCATCAGTTATCCAGGGTGCAATTTTTGAATTTTTTCGATATACCTTGACGTTCTCTGTACACTTATTTATGTAGGATGTCATAATGTCCACGAATTTTTTTCAAGAAATCTGGTGAAATTGTTTTTTTGTTATAAAATCAAAATCGGTCAGGCTCCAGTATACCTGCAGGATAAGTTAACTTACAACACTGAAATTCATAAATATGAAACTAGATCCAGGCATAACTTTCATATACAAATGTGTAGGAAAAGTAGTACATTTAATTCAATTTTTAATAAAGGCATGATTATGTATAATAACCTACCAAATGATATAAAAGATAGTGCATCTCTATATATTTTTAAGTACAGATTGAAGGAATATTTTCTGGCTACATAAGTGTTTTATTTGGTATTTGTGTATGTAACTAAGTTTTATTTATTTTTAATTTGTAGTAACTTTGATGTAATATTAGTTGTATTAGCATTTTTAAAAGTATGTACTGTAAATGAATTAGTTTTTGACTAAATAAAGAAACATATTATAATATTTGATTCTTCTGTAAATAGATTTAAGCACAGCATTCAAAATACACCAATGTAATTTTTAACAATTTATTGTAACTTAAATGGGCTTGCCCGTAAAAAAAAATAAATTTTGGATTGTATTTTAGTTCTTAATTTTCTTCGTTATTATATCTATGTGAGAATTGGTTTTAACGTGATTGTATATTAGTGTTGGCTTGCTTCCTTGAAAAAATCATTAAATTTTGTTTTCTAATTTTGACATATTAATAAGGGTCATTTTTTGTAGTCGCAGTAAGTGTCAAAATGATCTACTTTGTTAAACATTATGAAACTGGTTTCGAAAAATTCATTACGTCATCAGTTGCGAAAAGAAAAGAAAAATGAACTTATTTTGATTTTAAATCAAAAATATACGTTATTGAAAGTTTATATCAAAGAAGGATAGGTTGACTTATAAAAATAGAATTTGGTTAAACTTACAAACTAGTAATAAAGTTGTTTTGGTCCTCATTTTCCAGTCCAAATCAGGTCAAAAAAATTAAAACACAATACACGTCAAAATAATCCACTTTTTTGAAAATTAAATAACTTTAATAAATAAACAATATAAACACACTGTAAGTTGTTGAGAATAAATAATTAATAATGATGTTCTAACCGTGGTTTTAATTGTGAATAAAATGATGCACATGCAACTAACAATACAAGAAAGTAATATTAGTTGCCTATGTTTAACCAAAATACAATATTAGTCAAAATTAGAAAACATATTGTATGTAACACGTTGCGAAATGCTTTTTATGTAACTCGTTACATAAAATAAAGCATTTCGCAACTGGTTTCATAAATAGCTATTATAATTATTGTGAATATCTGCGGGACGAGCAGAGCGATGTCGCGCAATATGAACGATCAATTTCTTTTAGGTGAGAGATATTCATGAAGATATGGGAGACAGATTTTATCATATCTGTGCACCATGTTAGTTTTTGAATAATTTGTTTAACACCTGCCGTTTTTGATAATTGCAAGAACCTTTTGGTTATAATGTCTTCAAGTAGATTTATATAAAAATCATCAGCAGTACATTACTTTTGTTGATGTAATGATAATCAAATAAAGTTTAGAGTTTTGTTTCAATTTTTGAACTGCTACCTAGATCAATTAGATTAGACACAAGTCTAGAAATTAAGCATATTTTTGGATCATACGATTCATTAAAAACCCTTGCGAGAATGATTCTTCCATAAAAGGAGACTAACCAGACTACTGTTTTACTAAACTTCATAATAAGTTCCAAAAGTGCACAAAGTTTTATTACTGACAAAAAAACAAAAAATACATACCCAGGAACATATGACACAACTCAATTTCCTGTCCAGGCTTCAATTCCATTTTCAATAGCTTATGTGCACACTCCTCAAAATCTAAACTAGATTGTATTGTCAAATATATCGTCCTTCTAAGAGCTATTAGATTAGTTTCTGTGTTGTCAATAATAGTTCCAGAATCTTTTACTTCCTCTTCCCCCTCTTCGTCTGATTCATCATCTGATCCTTCAGAGCCAGATCCTGATTCACTATCGCTTCCCAAAATTTCTTTACTCAATGTTTTGTATTTACCTTCGTTTTCTTCATAATCCTCATCAAATTTGAAAACGTCTGTAAAGAGTTAATGTATATTACTACAAATATAGAAGGTGTACCTAAACATTTAGACAATACAGCAGAAGTGTAAAGACAGATACATAATATAATAGGAAATTTCATTCAAATTTGTTACCACTGATGTTTAAAAATTGGTTCAGGTCATAAATCTTTGAGGTTATCATTTATTCTAGTCTTAAAGATTTACATAAACAATTTTATTTGAAAAATTTAATTACATAGACAAATCTAAATATAATATATATTTTATGTGAATATCTAAAAAAATTCATTATGTAGTGCAAATTAAAAATAAAATAATAATAATCTCTGGAAAAGTTGTATGAACTTGGTTAAACGTTTGAACAAGTTTCCGCCCATTCCAGAGCCGTTTGTATTCCTTAGATCATATTCAAATGATATGGAACAAGTCACGTATAAACAAACTCATCTTAACATTTTAAAAATGGTCAAATAACTAATGGAAGTAAATACACAATTACAAAAGTCATAGTACAAAAATAGTCATAATTTATTATGTATTAATTTACAATTTCCTTCTACAGCTCTAACCCAAAATTACATTTTCTCAACTATTTTTTATTAAGAAATGAGATACATTGTGTGACATGTAATATAATTTCTTCATATTGTTAGGCAGAACCCTGCAGTAGCCTGCGACTATCATAGGAAACGTACAGATAGAAAAAGAAGTGGAATGTTACTTATCGCTCTACAATGTGCTGCGGTCGTCATAAGTAAAAGTACAAGTAAAAGAAGATAGAATATTCCAGAAATGTCATTACCCGTCAAGAATATTCTAGACGTCAGTCCGCGAAGGTTCGAGAAGGGTATATAAGGATGATCCTGACGTCAGTTTGGAAGTTTTATGATAGACGTTACATGTTAATGTTATCAGTTGTATCGTTATTGTTAAAGTTGAATTGAGTTATTGTAAAGTTGAATTGAAATAAATTGTGATACCAAAAACCAGTGTAACAACATGATAATACAAAGAATTTAATTTTCTTGTCTGATAGCAAAAAGTAGTCATTCCCTAACTATCCTAATAAAAATCATGTGTGCAATGTCGAATATTTGAAAAATTATGTAGAAAAGAGATGTCACAAATTGTATACACTAATTAAAAATGGGTACTATATAGCCTACAGAATTTTAACAATTAAGAAAATTACAGAAACTATATATTTACTTTTACATCATTCAAGTATTCATCCACAGACCAAAGTAGTATCCTTTTATTGTGGTCTTGAATCTGTCAATAGCTTAGCTAGGTGGAGAAGGGGTGACATTTAATAAAAAAAAATAAAACTTCAATTAAATATGTATAAAATATAAAATCGGTGACAAATTGTAAAATCAAAGCTGATAAATATTTAGAAATAGAAGAAAATTCAATTAAAAATGTTTTTCCTTAATAAACAATCCAACACTAGTTTTGGAAAATACAGGGTGTACCAATAAAAACTCCCAGGCCGGATATTTTGGTAAGTAATAGAGATATTTTAATTCTGTAAAAGCCAGTCCCTAGAGCGCTAAGAGAGGTTCAGTTCTAGATATAAATTAATTTTAAATAGATCTATATGTAGATGGCGCTGCGCTCAATATATTTTTTTCGATGGGAGGATCTTTGTTATATAACGCATCTTGTAAAAAATACATTTTTAAGCAGATTTTGTTCTATAAAATAATTCGATAAATCTAGCCATTTTTGATATACAGAGTGGGTCACTCAAAATAGTTTCATCCTATTTTTCAGCATTAATCATTGGATTTTAAGAAAATGCTAAAACAGGTCGATTTTTATTCCAAATTAAAAACATTTTTACAATACAGGCATCTGTCATTTGTCAACCCCCTCCCTCGTACTTCTCCAAGCCCTTAATTTTAACTAAGGAATGTGTCATGTACGGCACATCATTAAAAAGGTAATTTTATGGGGAAGTCAGAAATATGATTGTTGCGATTTTTTTAATTTTAGCGCCCTCTATCGGAATAAAACACCTGTAAAGTATTATTAAGTGTGACACTTCATTTGAAAGCTAATTTAATTACTAATTCAATGCACCACAACATTAATATAAATATTTTCATATTGCACTTGCAACAAAATAAAGTTAGCAATAATGTTTAAAATAATGCATGAATAATTTTCAAACTATTGCAAGTGCAATATGGAGGATATTTAAATTAATGTTATGTGGTGCATTAAATTAGTAATTAAAATAACTTTCAATAAGGTGTCACACTTTATAATACGTACAGTTTTTTATCCCGATAAAGGGCGGTACAATTAAAAGTATTGCAATGAACAGTCATATTTCTAAATTCCCTATAAGAATACCTTTTTAATGATATACTACACATTGTAGTGTCACACTCTATAATACGTAGTAGTTTTTTATCCCGCTAGAGGGCGATAAAATTTAAATAACGCAATATACAGAAATATTTCTGATTTCTCCATTAAATTACCTTTTCAATGATGTACCATACATGGTACAATTCCTATTTAAAATTAAGGTGTTGGAGAAGTACAAGGGAGGGGGTTGACACATGACAGATGTCTGTATTGTAAAAATGTTTTTAATTTGAAATAAAAATCGACCTGTTTTAGCATTTTCCTAAAATCCAATGATTAATGCTGAAAAACAGGATGAAACTGTTTTGAGTGACCCACTCTGTATGTTAAAAATGGCTAGATTTATCGAATTATTTTATAGAACAAAATCTGCTTAAAAATGCATTTTTTACAAGATGCTTTATATAAGAAAGATCCTCCCATCTAAAAAAATATATTGAGCGCAGCGCCATCTACATATAGACCTATTTAAAATTAATTTATATCTAGAACTGAAGCTCTCTTAGCGCTCTAGGCACTGGCTTTTACAGAATTAAAATATCTCTGTTACTTACCAAAATATCCGGCCTGGGAGTTTTTATTGGTACACCCTGTATACATTTAAATGAGTTGTTAATTGAGTTTTATTGAATTTCATCTCTTCATCCCCTCTCTAAACAACTTGTGTCGACTTTTCTAAGTTGTAAAAGTGTTTTTTCAAATTAAAAAAAAAAACAAAAAAAAACATCTAAAAAAACAAAAAAAACATCTAAAAAAAACAAAGTTTTTTAAATTATAAGAAAAACTTTCATAATAATTAAAAAAACGATGGTTTTTGTTTTTTTTATGGAAACAATTTATGAAAAGGACAAGTGTCGCCATCTAGAGTGTTTTAAAGACACTATAGCAGCATACGAACGCCAAGGTTAGACCAAAATACTTCCATGCACAAGATATTTCTATCAGAAATCTTCGTTCGACATCTTAGAGGGAAAGCCCACTCACGCGACATGTCGCGCACGACTGATCGCGAGGTATCGCGCACGGCAATACTTTAGATGTTTTTAAATGACTTTTAGCTGCGTGCGACCACGCGACAGAACCGCGTAAGAGGGAAAGCCCACTCACGCAACATGTCGCGCGCGACTGATCGGGCGCGGCAATACTTTTGATGTTTTTAAATGACTCAAAGCCCATTAACGCGGTTCTGTCGCGTGGTCATTTAAAAACATCAAAAGTATTGCCGCGCGCGACATGTCGCGTGAGTGGGCTTTTCCTCTTAATGGGCTTTGAGTCATTTAAAAACAAAAGTATTGCCGCGCGCGATCAGTCGCGCGCGACATGTCGCGTGAGTGGGCTTCCCTCTTAGCTGTACGGTTTTAGTTTTTAGTACTGTTAACTTTCCGAAAATATGGAATTTTGTAGTTATATTTCCAGCAAAACAATGTTTTCTTCCACAAGAGATGACGCATTACAAAGCAAACTACAGTATATTCTGCCCAGTGTTACCAGGTCATATAATTTTTTTTGTCAGTAGTCTAAGAGACAAAAAATCAATAGAAATCAGTAGATACATTTCTTGCATAATATCAGGGGCAGAAACTTTTGTAAAATTGATGCGCTTCTTGTACAAATAAACAAATATTAAAGTTTATTTATTTTAAAAAGAAGCTAAATTTTTTGCTTCAAGTTTACTCTTTTCCCTATTATTGTAGAGATTAAAGCTAAGAAATTCCTTTTATAAACGATTTTCGTTTGCACTTCATTGCTAAAATGTAATACCTATTTTATATCATTCCTTATACCATAAGAAAGCAAAATCGCCTGGTCGTCAAAAAATCGTAGTGTGCAGGGGGTAATTAGGGGTGGTTTTCCAAAAAATAGCAATATTTTTTTTGCTTAATTTACATCTACGCAACATTTTTAATCATCTGGCAAAAGTTTTGTTTCAAAATTCCAAGAGAAAGTATTTTATTTTTAATTTTAAATTATCTGACCAACACGCTTTTATATGAAGTTCCTTATTACAAAACGGCTCGCGCTGACACATCAAAAATGCAATATCATTTACACCAAAGTATATTAACCGTTGAGTAGCGACATAAAGCGTCGGTGCCTTTGATCTTGGATAGTGCAAATTTTCTTTCTCTCTCTTTTGACGTTATTGACGGAACGACACACTAAAACACTGCTCTAAATATGAACTGGTCTTGAATGTGATGTTTACACTGCTCGACGTAATTTGAAGTAAAACTCTTTTGTAGTTTACATTTATAATAAAGGTTTGGTCATTAGGCAGTTTTATATTTATGAGTATTTAACTTATGTAATAAATATAAAAATATATATCACTATTGATAAATTTCAATTTTTTTACCTACGTCCGGATGAGCTAGAGACTTGAGAGTTGGTAGGTGCACAGGGTTTTGATTTTTGATAACAATAGAAATTATTACTCATGGACCTTCTTATTTATTAATCGAGTTGTCTCTAACTTTAAATTTCGCGTTGTTTGAACATGTCGCTGAATACAATTTTTGACTAATAAATCCACAACAACGAATTCCTATATCAGCTGCCGAACTAAAGTGAAAGGGGTTGTTTACATCTTTAGAAGACGTCTCGCCTCTCTATTTCGCGTCGGCGCACTAGAATTCGGTTCCCCAGCTGTCGCTACTCAACGGTTAATATACTTTGTTTACACCGTGAAAACACAAGAATGAACACTTTCTATAAACGTTGTAGAACAAAGATCAAGGATTAAAATACTTGTTAGAAAATAAAAATCTAATAAATTAATAGTTTTGTCAAAAAACTGTAAAATGTAAAAGCATGTCCTGACAACTGCGCTCTGATGCGGAGCTGCGGGGATGGATGAAATTCGCTTGGCAGGCTGTTGTATCCGCATGTAAAGCCGCCCGTATGTGTTTTCAAGTCTAGATGGTTGTTTTTCATTTAAAACAGTAGAAGGTACCTACTTAGAAGGTACATGACGTGTACTCCATTACCATTACAGCATATTTCAAACAAGTAAAGCGTTGATGTTTTTGTGTATTAACATATTGTGTTGTTATTTTACGTTATTGTGATTCTCAACTTTTAGTTACAATAAGTAGTTAACTGTTTTATAGAATTATAATATTTAATCTGCTTGGCAAATCTACTAACGCCAAATCGTTTGGAGAACATGCACCCATCTTAAAGGCCCATTGTATTTAAGAACAAATACAATGTCGAAAGCATTGATTTTGTCCTGAACCATTACGAAGATTTGTCGATAAAGAATTGCACAAGAGGGAAGAGGGAACATAAAAATGACGCCATAGAGAGAGCCATTGAAAGCTCAGACACATTATTATCTCAACAGTGGCATTTATGTATCCATTCGATTGCTAATAAAATGCAACTTGCAAACTTCGTGGGTAATCAGTTGTATTAATATTCTCTTAATTTCGGAGTTAAATTTGTCACCAGCGGATGATTTATTGATGTTCTGCGGTATAAAGCAAACTATGATTTAGACACTGACTTGTTAATTGCGAAACACAAAGAGGCAGATACAAGGATTATATTACATATATTGTCTGCTAAAATGGAAGGATTATTTGTTACTATTGGCCCAATTCAAAGATATACTGACGCCGGAAATTTGGATAAAAGTTGGAAACAAAGAAACCGAAAGATTTATAGCAATCCATGAATTGAAAATCGAGTTCAATGGCAAAATGTCTACCAACATTTCATGCACTGACAGGTTGTGATACAACCAGTCAGTTTGTAGGAATGGGCAAAAAAACATGTTGAAAAGTGTTTTTATCACACCACAATCTACTTAGTAATGTTGGCATAAATGACAATTTAGAAGAAGACGATTTTAATAAAATGGTTAAGTTTGTAATGCGATTTTGCACAAATAACGAAAATATTCATTGCATAAATGACCTTAGAGTGATTTTAGCGTCCTCAAAGCCGATCAGCAAATTACATCCAACTTTAGACTCTTTAGAACAGCATTGTATTCGTGTAAACTACCAGACTAAAATATGGCTGAACAGTACGATACCCAGACCATCTTTACCAGATGTATCAGAGTGTGGCTGGAAAATTTTTAATGGAAAACTGGTACCAATTTTAAGTACAGAATCAATACTACCAGAGGTCATTTCTGCTTTAAATACTTGCAATTGTAAAAAATATAAATTATTATTATTACAAGTATATTATTAATTTAAATATTTTTTTATAGATTGCAGCGGGCCATAATGTCCCTGCAAGAAAAAACAATTTGTTGCATTGGGTCCTGCAATTGTATGGCTCAAATTACATGTGCAAATAAAGTAAAGAAAGACCTAAAAAACATAAAAGCTTCCCAGAATATGTTATCTAATAGTGAAGAAAATTCAGAGTCTGACTAAATGCTGTAAGCTAATCTTATAAGAATATTAATAAATTATTTATTTATTTACAGAAATAGAAGATTCTACTACGGAACACCGACTCCAGCACCTATAGTATGTCTAGTTACACGTTATTAACAAATTCTTTATTAAAAAGGTTAAATGTTAATTATAAAAAAAATATTAGGTAAAGTGTCCTATCTTCTGACTATTTTAACGCGAATTTTACCAGAAATGCATAATTTATTGTTGCCAGCAATAATTATTAATAAAGAAATTTTTAAAATGATATTTGTGTTTTGTTAATATCTGTTATTAATTTATTAAATAAAACTTTTAAAAAAATATTTAAAAATACTCAAAATACATAAACTAAAAAAACCACTATAATATTCTTATGATGTATCTTTGATTATAACAACGTTACGCCTCGCTATAGTAACAATATAGGTACCTTCTGCTGTTTTAAATGAAAAGCCACCTACAAAAATACATACGGACGACTGTACCATATAGATACAACAGCGTGCCAAGGAAATTTCAACCATCCGCGCATCTCCGCGTCAGAGAGCTGTCGTCAGGACATGCTTTTACTTTTTACATTTTTTTGACGAAACTATTTCTTAGATTTTTAATTTCTAAAAAGTATTTTAATCCTTGATATTTGCTCTACAACGTTTATAGAAAGTATTTTTTGATTAAAATTTTCAATCTTGAGTTTTCACGGTGTAAATGATATTGCAATTTTGATGTTTCAGCGCGAGTCATTTTATATTAAGGAACTCCATATAAGAGCGTGTAAGGCAGATAATTTAAAATTAAAAATAAAATACTTTCTTTTGGAATTTTGAAAGAAAAATTTGGCAGATGATTAAAAATGTGTAGATGTAAATTAAGCAAAAAAATATTGCTATTTTTTGGAAAACCACCCCTAACTACCCCTGCACACTACGATTTTTTGACGACCAGGCGATTTTGCTTTCTTTTAGCAATCAAGTTCAAACGGAATAACACGATAGAATCATTTTTAAACTCTGCTATTAAGGAAAAACACTGTTTAAAAAAATCAGGTTTTTTTCAGTTTACATCACTATTTTTTTGCAAAAGATTTTGCACTAATTTAATGTCAATACTCCATTTCCTTAATAGAAAAATACATTTTATCGAAATACTCATGGCCGATAAGGATATAACGACCATAAATTTTTATTATGAATATTTCGATATAAAACTTAGGAAATATTGACTGATTATGCTCCTTTTTAACAAGAAATCAAATCAAGTAAACCAAGAGTTTCTGGACAAAGTCGATTTCTCAAGGGGTGTTTTGGAATACCTTTCAAGAACTTACCGGTATGACAGCAAGTAAATCATCAACATATAAGAAGAAGAAGAAGATTAATATTGATATGATGAATAAAATTGAAGGTGACCTTAAAATTTACATTAAATTAGAAAAATATCAAAAATGGAGATCCTTTGATTTGATGGGCACAAAAATAAGACACTTTTAGAATTCTTATCACCCCGACCAAGTAGTGTGGCCAGTGAACAGCTATTCTCTTCAGCTGGTATTGTATAGGCGATTTCAACAGTGATTCATTAAGAGTGGAGACTGGTCGTATCACAGAATATTTTGAAGTAGATCGCAAAGAACAGGTCTCTCTCCAATTTAAATATGGAAAGTACCATCATCAGAAAAATAATTTTATGTGGAACTCAGCAATATTGTGTTATATTTCTTTTTACCGCCCTATCGCGGGATAAAAACTGTTTTGTATTGTAAAATGTGACACTTAATAATTTGGAAGCTAATTTTAATAGTAATCCAATGCAACTCATAAAATTTACCTAAATATCTCCATATTGCACTTGCAACTAAATAAAATTAGTAATAATAATTTTTTATTTGAAGTTCATTTTTGATTTAGTTATGTAGTGCATTGAATTACTAATAAAATTAGCTTTTAAATATAGTGTCACTTTATAATAATTAACAGTTTTTCATCCCGCTAGAGGGAGTTAAAATGAAAAGTAACGCAATGAACATATTGCTGATTTTTTCACAAAAATAACATTTTCGGTAATGTGATAATTGAGAATACTGTAGAAAGGTGTCCAGCTTGAAATAAAAATCTACCTGCTTTACAGTTTCTTTCAGAAAAATTCTACTAATCTTTTCCTTTTAGATTTTAAATGTATTTTTTTTTTTCTTAAATTCATATAAATTAAATTGTTTCTCAGTTAATATTTGTGTTTTAATTTCTTTTAAAAAATTCTTACCAATCGAAATATTTAATTGATATTTTTATTAGGCTGATACCGATATCACTTTCTACATATCGGCCAATGCAGATATCACCTTTCTTAAGACATATTTCATGTTCTTTGACAATTTGAAACTAGTTTTATTTATTTTTGTAGATTTTGTTTGCTTTAAAACAATTTTTTATTTCAATGCCACTGGATGTTCAAGAGTTTTCAGTAAACAGGCTGCTGAAAAGTTACAAGCTTCACACCAGTTAATGTATAATAATGGATGTAAGGAGGGATAACATAACTTTTGAACAATAATATCAAAACTATTTTTGATCAGCTTTAACTATTTAACTTTAAATTGTAAGACATATCTTAAATTTGTTGTGCCATTATCATACTTTAATCATTAGAAAAGAGTAAAAAATACAGAAATATTTAGAAATTGTTAGGTATTTACAAAATCTGTAAAATATTTTTAATCCTACTCAATACTTGGCATTATTCTCCTTCAAATTATAAGTAAAAAATAATAATAAAAAAATATATAGATATATAATCTTACTTAATATATCTTCAGCATTGGCCTCCTTCACATCATCCAACATAATAAGATGAGTAAACTGATCTTCCTCTTCAACCAAATCAAGTTCTTCTGTCACAGCTGCATGATCTTTAAATCCATCCTTTCTAATTTGAAACATAACTTCAATCATGTACTGTATTCTCTTTTCTAGTTGTCCTTCATGCAAAATATTCCTCAACATTTCAAATATGGCAGTTATACCTCTACTAGAAACTTCTGTAAGTTTTTGTCCACATTCTTTTAGAAAAGATATGGCCACTTCTACAGAATCATCTGTTGGTGTTTCAACTAATAAAGTTAAAATTTCAAGGGCCAAAATCTCATGGGCCACTCTTTGGTTAACCAAATGAGCTACGAAAGTTGTAGCAGATATACAGATGGATTTATTGTTCTGTTTGTAGCCTCTTTTAAACTGTAGCACCAGCCTTTTCAATAAAAGCTCTCCTATATTAGGAAACTTTGAATTAATAACAGCAACCAGAGCTGCATAGACATTAGTAAAGGTTGGAGAAGCTGCTTGAGCTTGTATTATTGACTTACAGAGTAAACCTCTACCTCTAACTATATTTTCATGTAAGATTTCCCTGGCTATTATACCGATATTAGAGGTGTTAATCTTATTAATATAACCATGTACAGATTTCTTAAGTGCTTCCCAAGCAATTCGTTGGTAAGCAGCTGATGATTTATCAGTAATACTAGCCTGCATCATTCGAAGTTTTGCTGGTGGTATATAAGCACCTCCCGTTCGAGAAGTTAACATATCTACAGTTTTTCTTTCTCTCGGTTTAATTACTGATTTATCAACAGTCTCTTCCTTGTTTGAAACATGTTTTTCTTGCACGTTCTTTTCTTTTTCGAATGTTTTATCATTTTCAGGTGGGTCATAATATCGTTGACCGACTTTTGTGTTATCCTTCCTAGGATATTTATTCCAGTAACTATCACTATTTGGCCGATCCTCTCCATAGTATCGAGGATAGTCTTTTGGATTGTAGTCATCGTCTTGTGAACGTTTACCATCGCGATCTTTTCTTTTTGAAGATTTTCTTTCTTTGCGCTCAGGAGATTTCGATCTACGTCTCTTTCGTTCTGGAGAACGTGTTGCAGAGTCTTTGTCTTTAGTCTCTGGCATGGTATTGAATTTTTCCAATTAAAGTTAAAGGTAAAAATTTATAAAAACTTTATTTTCCACTTTCACATTTGTTTTGACACATTCAGAAAATTTATGATGACCTGAATTACGTCAATGTCAACGTCTATTTCAGCATTGCCAACCTGGTGATAATAAACTTCCGAAACATGGCCACAAAACTAGATGGTCGATACCGTGATTTTTAAGTAACCGCAACTTTTTTACCATATAGCTCCACAACTCTCGGCTGGTACGGTTTGCGACGATTCTACCACAAAGCAGATTCTACCGTTGTGGGTGACATTTTTGGGTAGATAGTGGAGACTTGGTCTTCCATTTACCTTCCAAGTATTAAATAAAATGACAAAAACTAAATATTTCCGAACGTTAATTTAAAAATTGTTGTAATATTTGATATTGAGACGAACTATGATGTCAAAAATTTTAGAGACAAACTGTGGCGTGATCAGGAACGTAGGTAATTTGGGTACCGGCAGATCATATATAAGTACCGATTCCACCGTTTTGTTAAACGAAGTTTAAAATGACATTTTTACATTAACAATGTCATTTTAATCTCCGGTTAATACAACGGTGGAATTGGCCCTAAACGAAATTTAAATTACTGAAGAAAGATTAAAATGACATTGTTAATGTATAAATGTAATTTTAATCTTTGTTTAGTAATTTAAACTTCAGTTAACGCGACGCCGACGGTGGAATCGGCCCTTAGATGAACGGTCGGGTGACCGGTGTTATTGTTATTCGTTTTACCAGTCATAGCTAGTCGTACCACAGCTTTTTTCGTACGTTGATATTTTTGACTGTTATACTGGGTTCATTCACCGTTATCAAATATTACGATTGTGAATCGGTGACGTTGAACGAACAAACTCGAAACAGCTTTTTTTCAAATCGTTTCCTAATCAATGTTCAATGCATCGCATCCATGAAGATTGATGAATGTGGATGGATATCCCCACCTTTTCGTTTTCTGTCACAAATTATTTGTTTTCTTTAAATTGTTAAGAATTTTTTTGTATTAAAATTAATCAATCGAGAAGGATCGTCAAGTTTAGTGAAATGTGATTAAAAGTCAAAGTGATGTAGTACTGTGATCACATTACACCATAACTCAAAGTAAAAACCTACTGTTTCCTACCTATTAGATATCTAATTGCATTGCAATAGTACGTAATATTGTAATGCAAATTTTGAAAGCTCAAAAATCACCTCTACTACGGTACCGTCGGGCCGAAACTAAAAATATTTTAATTCAATAATAAAAATCCATTTAATCCGGCCCAGGGTTTTACCCCAAGCGAAAGAGAGACCGCACCATTTCATTTCCCTTGGTTCCCGACGCGACGGCTAGATCCATAGATTACTTGGCTAGATCGAACCAATGAACTGAAGTGGGGTAGAATGCTTGTCAATAGACTTGACGTGCGACTCTATGGGCGAAGATAGGTTATTTTTCATCTCACTCGGGAGTATTTAAAATAACCATTTTCTATTTCACATTGTTATTGTCTGATCCACCAGCTTGTGGATTGAACAATAACAATGTGAAACATAAAATGGTTATTATAAATAGTCCCGAGTGAGATGAACAATAAAAATGGCTGCGCCCATCGAGTCGCACCTTGTTCTAATAGTACAACATGTACATTGGCATTCTACCCCCCTCCAGTTCATTGGATCGAACTACTCAAATATAACAGTTACAATGGAACGCTAGAGCCTATATCCCATGGAGGTAGACCTACCTCAAGGTAGGTTGTTTAATTTTTAAAACTTACAAAATTAAAATTAATAAAAACTGAAATTAATGCTCTATTTTCTATTTGTTCGAATAGATTAGGATATTAGTTTATTTAAATATTAAAATGTACCAGACCATTTTGTTTTTGGATTCTTAGTTCTCATTTAAATAGAAAATAAAAATCGTTAACATTGATTTTTATACCTAGATCCTAGATATTTTGGTATTATCAATTAAAATAGTTTAAAAGTAACTACAATATTTTTTTTTTTGAGTAATATACATATTTAATAATAATAATAACACTCTCCCTAATTCACCCCCTTACGAGTGAATTTTAACCCCAAAAGCTGAGCTTGTGCGGGGAAAGGGACGGCTATTATTATTATTTGCCGTGGCGCTCCGGGGCGACTTAAAGATGATTGATGGTGCCATTTGACTTACAGGTGAGGAAAACCTCACCCACCATCATCGAGACGGTAATGTACGGCGATTTTTTATAATCTGCATGTCATATCATCAGAAATTGAATTTTTATTAATACGGCACACATCAATTCAAATCCTATACCGAACCATGCAATTTAATTAAAAATCTACATGGTCTGGTCTGGGATTCGAAGCCCAGCAGTCTCTGACACATAAACTTGCTTATAAATGAATATAAGCGCATTAGATCGCTACACCACCGACCCGGTGATTAGATAATTCATTTGACAGAACGTTGCCATTTGCCAACGAGACCGAGAATGTATTTCTTACGTCTGAATCACATGTAAAGTGAAGTAAATTTGGGACAGTGCGACCGATGCAAGAGAGGCGACGTAGTTTGCTGCCTATCGCCTGTCCCGCGGACTTGATGGCCAAGAGCGTAAAGTGTTAATAATAATACTACTCTCCCTAATTAACCCCTTACGAAAGAATTTCTACCCCTCAAGCAGACTTATTGTATAGGGAAACGGACGGCTATTCAACTTTGAACTTCGCAACGGGGGTTCACTCCCCAATAAAAGTAATCTTTTTATTTTTAAAAAATACATTGTTTATTTAAAATTTATTTTATTTATCATATCACCCATACAGTTTGTACTATTTTGATAACTTCATAAAAAGAATAGGTACGTAAAAAAGTAGGTATCATTTAATAAAAAAAATCTTGCTTAGACCGAATTCCACCATTGTCAAACGAAGTTTAAAATGACATTTTCACATTAGCAATGTCATTTTAATCTCCGGTTAACACAACGGTGGAATCAGCCCTTAATAACTAATGAAAAATATTATTGTATTCTAATAAATCGATAAATACATTTTTCTATGACGGAAGTTTCTCAAAAAGTAATTGTTATGCTTTGTTTAATCCTTATGTATCTTTGCCCTGTATGTATGCTTGTTTGTCAGATATGCTGGCCAATTTAACTGATATATACGTTCCACCACCTTTTTTACTTTCCTATCTGTATACAGAGGAAAGTATAGGAATCATGATTTTTTTCGACCTCGAGTTTTCGACGGATTTTTACGTGTAAATAGTGTATTTTAATACTCATATTGCACCCTAAGGATTTGAAATTATTAAGCATCTTGTTAACCATTTCAACATAGTTTTGAGCTTTATGTTTGCTTAAAAAATGTTCTACAACTGCAACAAATGATGTCCAAGCTTCTCGTTCAACTTGATTCATTGAATTTATGAAGACAGGATCCTTAATTAAGGACCGATTCCACAGTTGTGTTAAACGGAGATTAAAATGACGTTGTTAATGTAAAAATGTCATTTTAAACTTCGTTTAACAAAACGGTGGAATCGGTCCTCGTTATGTTTTTTTTTACGTTATAACAATAACGGAAACATTTTTTATTCATGACAAAATTATTGTCAGATACTGCCTGAGAAGTAAAATCTTCTTCAATACGATAAAAAGGCCAAATGCACTTGTGATCCGTGAAAAATTTCTACCTGTTACAATGAACATAGTAGGCTTATTGGGGTTATAAAATTTTATGATTTCAAAAATATCCAAGCGTTTCTCCATTTAAAAAGTCAAGCATGATCTAAAACCTAAAATACAACCATCAAATATCAAATTTTATCAGTCTTATAAAGGTACTTTACTCTTGAGTAAAACTCATATTTTTTGATAAACCTCTTATACCACTGAAAAATTGGATATTTGATGACTGTATCCTGGGTTTTAGATAATGCAGAACTTTTTATGAAGAATAACTTTTTTCCTAAAATAATAAAAAAGTTTTCCATATGATTCCAACTTAGGGGGAAATGCTGTAGATGGTTCCATTTAAAAAATACCCATTATTATCCACTACACAAAAAATAAAATACAAGCTGAATTTTCAAGTTTTTTTTTTATTTTTTTGAATTTGTATAACCAACAAGTCATGTTATTAAAATTACTTAAAAACGGCAAATTGATGATACAATTTTTGTAATTTTAACTTAAATGTAACTTCAATTCTTCCAAAATCTTCACGCCTAGGTGGAAATCAGTGGTAGAAATGAAATTCCTGAAACAAAAACAGAATTGTATAAAACTATATAAAAATTTCAGCAATCTTGCACTTTAGGTTGATTATAATGCACATGTCTATGCCAACCTGCATTGATGCATAGAATTTTAATTTTACACCTACCAAGTTGCCATATATTTCAATTTTTGTTTTGTATGTTATTGTAGTATCATTATTTCCTGCAGTTGTTTATTTTCGTTTTCATTAGTTAAAATAAAAATAGGTGATAAGAGATCAGGTAGTACCATCTCAAAATTAAATTATAGACAGTGTTGTGGTTCAAGAAGTTGTGGTAATGTATAATATAAAATCTTATTTTTTTATTTTCTTCATTAAATTTATGTTTTTATCTTGATGACAAGGAAAATCTGTTTCATGAAAAAAAAAAGACATAAAATAAGGAACATTTTTACTTATTTCTAAAAAAAATTCCATGGCCTTGAAATTATGCGTCATTATTAAAGTGGCCAGGATGCCTGCATATGTGCAATCTGTGGCGACTTATGTAGAATTACCTTATTTTCTTGTATGCGTTTTTTGTTTGGAGCACCTTGTATTTGCTTTTTCTGGTTTTAAATTAGTAGTAACTTGGACTTTGAGTAACGATTTAGATTGTCAGAGCAAGAATGGTGAGAACTGAGGACATGTGCATTACAATTTTGCTAAACTGCAAGATTACCCAAATCATTAATTTTGGGTAGAGCTAAGCTTAGCAAAATGAAAAAAGAATACAAAACTACCTTTTTCACGAAATAAAAATTAAATAATGCAACTTACAAATAAAAATCAAATATATTGTTGATACTGTAAAGGGTGCTGGCACAAAAAGCTAATTTTACAGGAGACTATAAAATGCTAATAAGTACTACATAAGAGTACTTACATACATCATATTGTCAGATATTTTTGGTCACATACTTTCAAAGTTTTTTTTTTTTTTTTTTTGATATAACTGATATAACATGTTGCGTATCAACGACGCTATGTACTCTTGGGT